TTCTGGAAAAAATCTAATAATTTTGCTAGTTTGTTTTCTTCATTTTTTCCTTCTTTTCCTCAATCAAGATTCTTCAATACATTGCTGCCTGAGCTGGTCTCTACATGACTGCCATCTGGATCAGGCTTTCCTCAGCATAGCTTTAGAGTGCTGTACCTAGACCTGCTGGACTGAACATCATGGGGCTATTCTGAAACTAACCTTTGGGCACAGGGTCCTGAGTTAGGCACTTTCCAGACCCTGTTCTGGTAACGATTTAGCTGTAGAGAGCTTTTCCAGTCTAGAGCTGTAGGCTGGTCGGGCTGAGTACTGAGAACTATCTCACAATTTGCAGTGCTCAGTGCTAATTTCCCACTATCTGCCAATTTTAACTGTGGAAGGAGGTAACACTGAGGGACAGAGGGATGATATCACCTGAATGGATGTGTTGCTTACATGTGGTCTGTGCTCCCTTTCCCTTGATTCAGTGCAGAGGAAGCACCATCCCGCTGCTGCTACTGCTTTGCATTGGAGCCATATGGAAGCCTTCATTCCAGTCCATTCCTATTGCCAGTCTACAGTGATCTTGGTCACCTCGGGCCTTCAGACCCTAATAAGGTACCCACTGTCTGGGTTTGTGGGTACTTGAGGGCTTGCCACCTACTGTGAGCTAGTTGCATCACCACCACATGGTTACAACATGTCTGTATTTAGACACAAAGTGGATTGTTCCTCTGCAACCGGTCACAGTGACCATCTCTGAGTGGAGGATTAGCCTGATGTCTACATCCTTGGGTCTTTCAGCTGCAAAGACTTTTCCCATCCACCCAATGTGGTGTATCCTCTATGTGGACACTAAGCACCCTGAGGGGTCCTGGACCCCATTTAAGCATGTTTTGGAACTGCTCCCCTTATGGGAGGGAATTGTTAAATGGTGTTCAATATCCACCGTGGATCTGCTAGTGACCAACCTTACCAGGGAAACCACTAAGCCAGTAGAGGCTGTGCTTACTTTTATCTATTCTACTGACCAGCAGCCGAAACCCTTTCTTAACTTTTCATTTTTACTGGTGGGCTTAGCCCTTTGCCCTGTACTGGCTGCTATCCTAATTTGCCAGACTGTGGCAGAATGGGATACTGTAAATTCCCTCAAAAGAACTACACTTTTGCAGTAGACCCCTTTCTGATAGTTGTGATGGCTTGCTAGAAATATCTAAGCTAGTGTCCTATATGGTTCTCGTAATCAACCAGACCCTGAGGTCACTGGTTAAGGTGCTGGGACTCAGATGCCATATCCAAGGAGCACCTGACTTGCACGGTCTTCAAACTTAACCTTGCCATCCATATTAAGGATAGCATTGGATATTCAGAGCATTCACCTGCCTCAGCATAAGCAGTCTAGGGAAGGCTGAGCCCAATCCTTCTCTTTCACCTACTCCTGGAGTGGACACACCCAAACCCTCTAAGTCGGGTTCTCTGTCTACTTGCAAGGATGAAAGAAAGAAGCCCTCAGAAACGTCTTTAGCATGAAGGGACACCTTCAAGTACCTTGCAAGTAAGTGGAGAGTTGCTAATCCTTGTGGTACCCTGTTAGGTTTACAGGCCAGTCCTTTGCTGGCACTCTCTTCAGCTGTTCACCCTCTACCCCTCTGTGTCACTCCACAGATTACCAGGCTGTTCCCTACCCCAGTGGGGTCTCCTCAACCCCCTGATTCTTGCTCTCTTCTCCTGTTTCTTAGAAAAAATATATGGGAAAGCACTTCTAAGAGTAACTGTCTCAATTTGAAGGAAACACATGATGTGTTTATCTCTTCTCTGCCTCTTCACAGGAAAGGTAGGCGCACCTGGGTATGTTGGCCTTCAAGGGACTCATTGTTTAATGAAAAAGTCCACAACATTTCTCTAAAACAGTCCATATCACTAGGGCTTGCTTTCCATGAGCAGAAACAAGCTTTGAGCATACAGAAGAGAGGAAAGGGCAAGTTCCTCTAAGTGCAGCAAAGACTAACTTTATTAAAACACCACGATGGGCCACTCACATTTTATAAAAATAATAAGGCTCTTCAATATTATTATTATTATTACACAGTATTTATATAGCGCCAACAGTTTACTCAGCGCTGTACATTACAATGGGAGACAATACACGAGACAGTACAATAACAATACAATACAATACACGAGGGGTTCGAGGGCCCTGCTCCTTGGAGCTTACAATCTAGGAGGGATAAATAAATCCAACACTTTGTTTTAGTTAACATCCTCCTGCTGCCAGTTCTGCGCTGTGTCACAGGTACACCGACAGGGATCAATGGGAAACATAGCGGAATGTACCCGAAGCAGAGATGTCACCAAGCTGGGTGTAGCAATGCTTTTCAGAGCATGTGACTTGACAAAGGAGTGCGCATGCCCCGAAACGCGGTGGCACAAACCACTTCTTGACGTTTTCTCTGCATCCAGTGAGTGGCCCATAGTGGTGTTTCAATAAGGTTAGTCCTTACCAGGGGCGGACTGACCATTTGGACACTCGGCACCGCCCGAGGGCCCGGGGTCAGTAGGGGGCCTCATGACATGTCCCTGGTACCTTTCATAGGCTTTTTTGGGAGTGGTTTGAGTGTGGGCGAGGACACAGGGGCCTCATGATCCCTTATTGTCTGGGGGCCCCATGAGTTGTCAGTCTGCCCCTGGTCCTTACTGCACTTGGAGGCTCTTTTGTTTGCACAGAGCTTGCTTCTGCTCATTGGAAAGCCTGCCCATGTGATATGGACTCTGCTCAGTTTTAGAGAATTTTAGTGGACGTTTTTCATTGAACACTGAGTCCTCTAAATCCACCGCTATATATCCGTGAACATCCTCTTTTGTTTCACTGCTAATAAATTCACTTTACTATATATACATATATATAGATTGTGGGAACTCGCTTCAAATGGTAGAGCTCTTCTTGTTAAAGCACACAGCAACTCGCTTCTTTAAGGGCTTTTTTGCCCACTTTTATTTAAAGAAAGTTCAAATAACACAAATGCTTCCCACGCAGGGGTATCCACCATCAAGAAATACCAACAAAGATTCAGCCTCCTGGCTTGTACACAGTTCATTGTCTGTCTCCTGCAGACTCTTTCCAAATTATGGCCACTAGCACACAGCTAGTCTGGCTTTCACCTGACTCCAAGGCAGAGACCTCCTGTCTGCCGGGTTGGAGCCCTCCTGACTCCGTCTGCCGGGGTGGAGCCCAGAACTATGGTCAGGACTCTATAAAAAGGCCTGCACACACCTGTGCAATCAGTGTGCTGGGGGTTCTCAAAACACAGACCCCGGATTGGAGATTTCATCCCTCCCAGATCTCTTTGAAATCTCCAGGCTCCAGATCCCAAAACAAACTTAATTAATAAATGAGGAAACCGAAAAGTCAGTTTCCTCTGCAACACATCAACTCTCTGGAACCCCTCAACCTGCCTGGTTGAGAATCCAGGGTTTTCAGCTTGATTCTAACCGTGGCAGGACACCGCACTGCCACATAATATATATATATATATATATATATATATATACACACCTCTGGCCATCTCCGCTGCAGCTTCCTGACACTCTTACCTTCTCTCTATTACTGCCTTCACCACCGCCTGCTCATTCTGAACCCACCTACTTAAGAAGTATGAGAAGTGATACTTTTAATTCCAAACTAATTCATTTATAAATAAAAAGTTGAAAAGGGTCCCCAACATTGAACTTTGGGTGTGATAAATACAACACTACTGCGGCAGGCTGTACCCTCCTATTTATTCGTATCCGGTCCTATTGGGTTAGAGGGGTGGTACCATTGGATGCACCTAGAAGGAAAGATTACCGTCAGATAAGTGTACAATTTTCCGGTTTATACTTCTTCATATATTAAACTTTATTTCTCGTCTTTCAGTACTCTTCCTCAGTTAAGCTGTGTGCAAATTTAATGGAAGAAATGATTACATATGGCAGGTAAACAACAGCTGTTTACCTCCAGTATATTTGTAGTCATAATGTTTCTTTGCAGTGATAGACTGAACATAAATCTGCCAATCAGACTCCGTCTTCTCACAATTGTTTAATGCCCCCTGCTGGTGGAAGGGTGTATATTTCCTTTTTATTAGGAAAGAAGGTTACTAATGCGGGCCATAGACGGCGTTTATCTGCCGAAAGAATAATCGGCCGATATTCGCTTTATGGGGCAATATCATGGCGATTTTTGCGGTTCCTCCTCATTTCTTTTATCGGTCATTCTGGAAAATTTACAAAAAACGGACGATTTTTGTAATCATTGGTGGCAACAGAACGACCGATCTTTGGTTTTTCGGCTGAAAATTGAGCCGATAAACGAACCGTCTATGGCCTGCATTAGGCTCCATGTACACTGCAGCTGATAAACGCACGTTTAGGAGATGTTCAGCGTTTTTTTCAGCAGCCCCTGAACTCTCCCTGAATGTTTTCCTATGTGTCCATTTACACATCGTTGTTTACAGCCATTTACAGGCAGTTGAGTTTACAGTCATTTTTTTGAACGCACTAAACTTGCGTTCAGGAGTCGATTTTATCAGCGTTTGTGTTGGCAGATTCACCTATTAGGCAGGGCTTTGACCTCATCCAGTGACAGCGTTGGGCTTGTTAGTGGGCGTTGCTATTTGCCCACCCCTCAATTATAAAGTATAAGACTTCCCCTGTCCCTCAATGGATGAGAAAAAAAAATAGGATTTTTGAACTTACCATAAAATCCCCTCTAGGAGTCCATTGAGGGACACCGGCCCGTGTTTTGTGTTTATGCGGTTGTTACTGTTTGCTGCAAACCAAGACTGCTGAGAAGAGAAGGAGTTTTACTGGAATATGATTTGTTTGCCACTATTGCCACCTGTAGGCAGCAGTATAACCAAACAGTATATGACTTTCTGTGTCCATCAATTACCGCAGATAAATTATTTGAGTGCATAAGTGCATGAGTATTTTTCCTCAGATTTCAGCTTTAAATGTGATGAAAGGTGAATTTTATATTGCAGATAATAATAGTACAGTTCGGTGGAAAGCCATTTAGCTGTGCTCCGCTACAGCTGGACCAGTGGATGTGGTGCATATTTCTTGGCTTTGGAGAATTGGTATGGGGGCAGGTAGGTTTCAAACTGACTTAGACACTTTTGTTTCATGTTGGTGAGATTCGGAGGCAGTGAAGGATTTTGTACATATTAGTCAATGCCTTGTTAGAAAAATGTTGACAGGATTCTACTCATTGCTCACATGTGTTTCTTCTATGTTTCATTGATTACATATAGATCCTTATAATTTCAGTGTCTATAATTACAGCGCATGGTTACTTTCTGTAGACCACATATATATACATTTTCACGGTCTGAGATTAGGATTGGAGGCCAGTGGCTGTAGCAGTAGACAGGTTCATGCAGTAGACAGCTAGATGAATACACAAGCAGGTGCCCCTAGCAATAACGCAAGCTCAGCTGAAGTACGTGGCCTAAGCACAAGTCAGTCTTCATCAGAGCTCCAGATGATAGAGATGGTTTCTCTGCATGCTAATGCCATGTCGTGGTCCTCTGGAGTGCTCCAGCATGAAGACAGCAGAGGGTCAGGTAGTGGATGATGCAGATGGAAACAAGCAAAAGGATAGTTGATGAACAGAGCTCCAGATGATGGAGATGGGTTCTCTGCATGCTAAAGCCAAGTGGTGGTCCTCTGGAGTGCTCCAGCATGAAGACAGGAAAGAGTCAGGTAGTGGATGATGCAGATGGGAACAAGCAAAAGGATAGTTGATGAACAGAGCTCCAGATGATGCAGATGGGTTTCTCTGCATGCTAAAGCCAGGTCGTGGTCCTCTGGAGTCCTCCAGCATGAAGACAGGTGAGGGTCAGGTAGTGGATGATGCAGTTGGGAACAAGCAAAAGGATAGTTGATGAACAGAGCTCCAGATGATGCAGATGGGTTTCTCTGCATGCTAAAGCCAGGTCGTGGTCCTCTGGAGTGCTCCAGCATGAAGACAGGAGAGGGTCAGGTAGTGGATGGTGCAGATGGAAACAAGCAAAAGGATAGTTGATGAACAGAGGTCTAGATGATGGAGATGGGTTTCTCTGCATGCTAAAGCCAGGTCGTGGTCCTCTGGAGTCCTCCAGCATGAAGACAGGAGAGGGTCAGGTAGTGGATGGTGCAGATGGAAACAAGCAAAAGGATAGTTGATGAACAGAGCTCCAGAGGATGGAGTTGGTTTCTCTGCATGCTAAAGCCAGGTTGTGGTCCTCTGGAGTCCTCCAGCATGAAGACAGGAGAATGTCAGGTAGTGGATGATGCAGATGGAAAAAAGCAAAAGGATAGTTGATGAACAAGCCAAAAGATCAGTAATGAGTAGTAGCTGGATAGGATCTGGTAGAAAAGTGGTCGATCAACAAGCCAAGGATCGATAACAAGTTGTAGTTAAAGCGGGGCTCCATCCAAAAGGGTAAGCTCCGCTTTAAGTACTGGTCCCTCGCTCCTCATGAGGAACTGACACCTTTGGGTAGGAGGTACCAGATTTTGACAGGTACCTGCTCCCACTGCAACCGCCTAGGCGATCGGAAGCAGAATCATCCTCCCTCCTCCGTAGTATACTGGGATATGTGACAGGTCCCAGAATACTACGGGACCATTCACAAGGCACAGCGCTACTCGCACATGTGCAGTGGGCACCCGGCTGTGAAGCTGTCACAGCCGGGTGACCACATTTAGTATGCCGATGCCAGGGAGCGAGGACGGCCAGTGAAACCGGCTGCGGTGAGTACACTGCTGGATCGTGGGACAGGCGAGTGGCTGTTTTTGTAGCTGCTGACTGTTATTTTTTTTAGGTTTGACTGTAGCTCCATTTTAAGGATAAGGTCAGCAGCAGGTATGCAAGGCTCAAGACATCGGCTGCAGAGAGCACAATAATTTGGCAAACAGGAAGTACAAGGACATGAGCTAAATAGGAGTTTGTGGGAGAAGCAAGAAGTTCAAGGTTCACCAAAAACAAGATACAATGTAAAGTTGTCCAAGGGATCAGGCACAGAGCTGTCCATCATGTCAGGTAGCACAGTATGAAGAGCCACACCCAAATACCGCAGAGGTCCCAGGTTCAGATCTGGATCCTGACATATATATACATTTATACAGTTACTTAGATCATATATAGATCCACATAAAAACAATGTTTAGTTACTTTTCTCTGCATTTCATAGATCATATATAGATCCATATAATTACAGAGTATGGTTACCAGGGGCGGACTGACCATTTGGAAACCGGGCACTGCCTGAGGGCCCGGGGTCAGTAGGGGGCCCCATGAGATGCCCCTGGTACCTTTTTCATAGGCTTTTTTGAGTTTGGGCAAGGACACAGGGGCCCCATGATCCCCTATTGCCCGGGGGCCCCATGAGTGTCAGTCCGCCCCTGATGGTTACTTTTCTCTGCATCCCATAGACCATTTATAGATCTATAGAATTACAATGTGGTTATTTTTCTCTATGTTCCATAGATCACACATAGAGCCATGTCATTTCAGTGCACGCTACCACACTGTCATCTGAAATAAGTGTTGGATAGTCCCTATATATTGTTATTCAGGAAATAGCCTCCTTTATTTCTCGCATGTGTCCTTGGATCTCCTAACTAGTGTGTGGATTGTGATTTCTCCACAAGAACTCAAAAAAAGCCAGTCAGTTATTGCTATTCTAGAACAGAGGTCTCCAAACTTTCTAAACAAGGGGCTAGTTGACTGTCCTTCAGACTTTAGTGGGGCTGGATTTTGGCCAGAAGGAGTAGAAAATGTCCTGGTGTCAGTGGGAGTAAACAATGTCACATCTTTAGTGGGAGGAATAGTGCCCCATTATTGGTATCAGTGGGAGGAATAGTGCCCCATTATTGGTGTCAGTGGGAGGAATAGTGCCCCATCATTGGTGTCAGTGGGAGGAATAGTGCCCCATCATGGGTCAGTGGGAGGAATAGTGCCCCATGAATGGGTCAGTGGGAGGAATAGTGCCCCATGAATGGGGTCAGTGGGAGGAAATAGTGCCCCATGAATGGGGTCAGTGGGAGGAATAGTGCCCCATCATTGGTGTCAGTGGGAGGAATAGTGCCCCATCATTGGTTCAGTGGGAGGAATAGTGCCCCATCATTAGTATCAGTGGGAGGAATAGTGCCCCATCATTGGTATCAGTGGGAGGAATAGTGCCCCATCATTGGTATCAGTGGGAGGAATAGTGCCCCATCATTGGTATCAGTGGGAGGAATAGTGCCCCATCATTGGTATCAGTGGGAGGAATAGTGCCCCATCATTGGTATCAGTGGGAGGAATAGTGCCCCATCATTGGTATCAGTGGGAGGAATAGTGCCCCATCATTAGTATCAGTGGGAGGAATAGTGCCCCATCATTGGTATCAGTGGGAGGAATAGTGCCCCATCATTGGTGTCAGTGGAAGGAATAGTGCCCCATCATTGGTGTCAGTGGAAGGAATAGTGCCCCACCATTGGTATTAATGGGCGGGATAGTGCCCCATTGTTGGTGTCAGTGGCAAAAATAAAGCCCCCACTAGTGGTATCAGTAGGAGAAATAGAACTCCAAGGGCTGGACAAGGACAAAGGGCCACAACTGGCCCTGGGACCACAGTTTGGAGACCACTGTTTTAGAGAAAACACACCAAACTTTCACAAAACCTGATACATTTGTACCATAATTTTGTATTATATGTTGTTTGGAAAGTGCCATTGCACTCAGTTTATCAATAAAAGCTGTAGTCATTACTAGCTTATATGCTACTTGTTATCTAGATCTGCTTCATAAAGTTTTGTGTGCCATAGGTCATCGCTAGCATCCCGACCAATAGGTTGAAATTCCTGAAGGGGGCTGGCCACCTGACACAGAAGGAAGAAATTCCAGAAGAGGAACTGAATGAGGATGTTGAGGAAATAGACCACGCAGAGAGGGAGTTAAGACGAGGGCAGATCCTCTGGTTCCGGGGACTCAACAGAATACAAACCCAGGTACATGGGTGGCAGCACATTGTGGGGAGGGGAAACCATATTCCAGGTCTAGGTGCACTCTCTCCCTGGAAAAGTCCAGCTTACCATCACCCGTTGTATGGTCAACGTATCTTACTATGCCATGGGGCCGACTTAAGGTCAACGTATACAAGATTGCCAGCAAGGATAAGAGATAATGTATAGGTAATTGAGTGGATCCGCTGATTCCCTTTACTGAAATACAATATCAGGACATTCTGTGGTATCAAGGCATACTGGAAATACATACCATGAAACAAAGCTATTAGCATTGAACAATAACACTGTAATAAAATACCAAATGTATAGGCGGTATAGTACACACACCATGCCATAAAGAATAGCATTTATTTTAGGTGTCTCCAGTTTAGGTGTCTCCAGTGAAGGGTCTGCCAGGTCTTCCCATCCAACATCAGTACCTAACCCCACAAATGGGCACAAACAGTTTCCAAAATGTGAAAAAGGAAAGTGGGGGCAGTCACAAAGGGGTCAACTCCATTCTAATGGGGGGAGGGGGACGACTCCATACTAATGGCCATGGGAGGAAGGGGACAACTCCGTACTAATGGCCATGGGGGTAACTCAATACTAATGGCTATGGGGGAAGGGGGACGACTCCATACTAATGGCCATGGGAGGAAGGGGACAACTGCATACTAATGGCCCTGGAGGGAGGGGGGCAACTCCATACTAACAGCCATGGGGGAGTGGAACGACTCCATACTAATGGCCATGAGGAGTGGGGGACCACTCCCTTTTAACTGCCATGGCTTTGGAAAAGGGTGTCCAACAAACATATATACGTATGATGGTCAAGGGCTCACTGACTTATGGCCATGTAATGTATCATACCACAGGAGACAGTATAGAGAGTGCACTACATACAGTATATCAAACCATACAGCATAGTATAGAGAGTGTACTACATATAGCACACCATACAGCATAGTATAGAGAGTGTACTACATATAGCATACCATTCAGCATAGTATAGAGAGTGTACTACATATAGCATACCATAGGACATAGTATAGAGGATGTATTACATACAATATATCACAGCATAGTATAGTGAGTGTTCTACATACACTGTATTGCCAAAAGTATTGGGACACCCCCTCCAAATCATGTGATTCAGGTGTTCCAATCCCCTCCATGGCCAAAGGTGAATACAATCAAGCCCCTAGGCATGCAGACTGCTTCTACAAACATTTGTGAAAGAATGGGTCGCTCTCAGGAGCTCAGTAAATTCAAGAGTGGTCCCGTGATAGGTTGCCACCTGTGTAATAAGTCCATCTGTCTGCAGAGTCAATAGCTCCAAACTTGGTGCGGCCATCAGATGAGCACAACAACAGTGCGTAGAGAGCTTCATGGAATGGGTTTCCATGGCTGAGCAGCTGCATCCAAGCCTTCCATCACCAAGTGCAATGCAAAGCGTCAGATGTAGTGGTGTAAAGCACGCCGCCACTGGACTTTAAAGCAGTGGAGAAGTTTTCTCTGGAGTGACCAATCATGCTTCTCTGTCTGGCAATCCGATGGACGTGTCTGGGTTTGGCAGTTGCCAGGAGAACAATACTTGCCTGACTGCATTGTGCGAAGTGTAAAGTTTGGTGGAGGGGGGATTATGGTGTGGGGTTGTTTTTCAGGGATTGGGCTTGGCCCCCTAATTCCAGTGAAGGGAACTCTTAAGGCAACATTTTGGACAATTTCATGCTCCCAACTTTGTGGGAAGAGTTTGGGGATGGCCCCTTCCTCTTCCAACATGACTGCGCACCAGTGCACAAAGCAAGGTCCATAAAGACCTGGATGAGCGAATTTGAGGTGGAGGAACTTGACTGTCCTGCACAGAGTCCTGACCTCAACCCGAAAGAACACCTTTGGGGTGAATTAGAGCGGAGACTGCGAGCCAGGCCTCCTCCCCCGACATCAGTGCCTGACCTGACAAATGTGCTTCTGGAAGAATGGTCCAACCTTCCCATAGACACCCTCCTAAACCTTGTGGATGGCCTTCCCAGAAGAGTTGAAGCTGTTATAGCTGCAAAGGGCGGTGCCAACTCAATATTGAACCCTACGGACTAAGACTGGGGGGCCATTAAAGGTCATGTGTGTGGAAAGGCCGGCATCCCAATACTTTTGGCAGTATAGTGTATATCACAGCATACATAACAGTATAGACAGCATACTACATGTATAACACGCTACAGAACAGTATAGACAGCATACTACATATATAACACGCTACAGAACAGTATAGACAGCATACTACATGTATAACACGCTACAGAACAGTATAGACAGCATACTACATATATAACTCCCTACAGAACAGTATAGACAGCATACTACATATATAACGCCCTACAGAACAGTATAGACAGCATACTACATATATAACATGCTACAGAACAGTATAGACAGCATACTACATATATAACACCCTACAGAACAGTATAGACAGCATACTACATATATAACACCCTACAGAACAGTATAGACAGCATACTACATATATAACACGCTACAGAACAGTATAGACAGCATACTACAAAATATATCACACAGTATAGAAAGCACGCTATTGTGTACAATATACTGTATATCACACCTCAGAATAACATAGGAGTATATTACACATCACAGAAATCTATACAGGATAGTATACTACGTATCACATCATGTGCAGTACATAAGTGACTACAAAGGGCATCTGCGACAACCAATAGGAAAGTGCTTTCAAGCCAGAGTCAGCTGGCTTTTGTTTGCTTTAGAACTGCTTCTCTCCCCATACAAGCCTATGGAACAGCAGCTGAAACAGGTCAAATGCAGGTCAACTGCAAGTGAAAATAACCTCTGCATTCGCCCATCAACACTGCCCTTATATACAATGGCTGCCCATTATCATTTACTGAATGCAAATTTCTTATTAGTTACAATTGGTTCATTAGCACCAATTTTTTTCGAAACTGACTTATGTAGGCTCATTATTTCTGCATAAGGGGCTCCTGAAATGTGATCTGATCTCTATTCCATGCACATATAAAGACCACAGATGCGTTTTACAATGCCATATAGCATCCATGTCAGACTCTTAATCTTCAAAGGAGTGCATGTATATGGAGAGCCACACCTTCAGATTTACGAGGACTGCATGTATATGGAGATCTGCACCTATTGATGTACAAGGCACCAAATGTATATGGATAGCCAAGTCTACAGATTTACAAGTAACTGCACGTATGTAGTGAGCCGTTCATACAGATTTACCAATATGACATTGTTAAAGAACAGAGAAGTCAATCGTAGATGGCGAGACAAGGCCAGATCTTAAAGCTGAACTCCAGGTATGATATTTATTGCATATTCACATTGGTCCAGCTTGGACCAATGTAAGTATGTGAATCTCATTCTTAGGGGCAGCTGGGGATAGCTGAAAAAGCTATAGTAATCAGCGCTACAATAGTAATAGCCATTATCTTCCGGGTCCTGTGGCACTGCCACCATTCACAGAACGACATTTTTTATTCTTTCAATGAATGTGGTCTCAGTGGTCTTTGGTTGGACAAAGTGGAGATCTGGGTGATGAAGTCACAATCTCCAACTCTGCCAACCAGAGAATATCTTGTGTTTATTAAAGAAAGTTACCACCTTTCAATGCTGAGCGATCAGCCCTCTGTGTTCAGTATGCACAGAGGAAAGATGGTCAGCACAAGACCTGGAATATAGCATCGAGCACTATAGTAGCACTGACTACTACAGTGATTTCCAGCTTCCACAGTGGTCCACCAGGTATGCATATACTTTCATCGGTCCAAGTTGGCACAATGTAACCATGCAAAGAGGATCATACCTGGTGTTCAACTTATCAAGCAAGATACCAAGATACTATTCCTGAACATATGACTATACAGGATTGCAACCAATCAGAAACGGCACTGATCTTTTGCAAGCCCCCTCCCCCCAAGGATCATTCCTGGACTGATGAGTATCATGGAAGAGCCAGATTACCAGAAAGTGGAAGCCATTAGTAGACGAAGAGACAGGCTTGCCCTTCAGCAGGCCACCCAGAGACTATTCCTAAACAGATGAATATATTGGATGACCCAGTTTACCAAAACACAGAAGCTCGTAGACAAGGAGACTTTGCCTGATCTTCAGCAAGCCCTCCAGAGATCATTCCTGGACAGATGAATATACCCGATGAGTGAGATTACCAGAACCTGGAGGTCAAGTGTAGATGGGGAGATGAGGACTGATCTTCAGCTAGCCAACCAGAGACTCTTCCTGAATAGATGAGTATACTGGAAGAACCAGATTACCAGAACATGGAAGCCAATCGTAGAGGAGGAGACAGAGCCTGATCTTCAACAAGCCCCCCAGAGTTCGTTCTTAGATAGATGATCTAGATTGCCAGAACCTGGAAGTCAAGTGTAGATGGTGAGATGAGGCCTGATCTTCAGCTAGCCACCAAGAGATTACTTCTAAATAGATGAATATACAGAATGAACCTGATTACCAAAACACAGAGGACAATTGTAGACAAGGACAGAACAGATGAGCACACTGGGTGAGCCAGAACAAAGAACATGGCAGCCAATCATAAATGAGGAGACGACTGATCTTCAGCAGACCACCCGGAACAGATACAGTAATTATAGTGAAAGAGCCAGATTACCTCCTAAGTGACCTGCAGTCAATCGTAGATGATGAGACTGTGACTGATCTTCAGCTAGCCACCCAGAGACTACTCCTTAACTGATGAACATACTATATGACCCAGATCAGAGAACGTTGAAGCCAATTGTAAATGAAAAGACAGAGCCTGATCTTCAACAGACCACTCAGATACTATTCCTGAACAGATGAGTATAGTGAAGGAGCCAGAATACCTCCTATGTGACCTGCAGCCAAAGACAGATAAGGAGACTAGATCCGATCTGATCTTCAACAAGCCACCGAGAGACTACTTATGAACAAATGAGTAT